AGCCCTTACCTTTAAGCCCCGAGCGCTGCGCCTCAGTGGTGGGCGTGGGACAGATGACATTGGGCGACCTCTCCGAGCCCGTCGAACTCACCGACGCTGTTGAACTCACTGACCTCAACGACGACCGCCGGGATCTGGAAGTCCCGATGTTTGGCGTGGACTGTGAGCTGGTCAGCTTGTTCGACCGGGAGGCTGACGACACTGCCTTTTTCTGCAGGGGGGGGGGAAGAGGAAGCAAAAGCCATCTGAGTTACTACCGGTGCCAAGGAGTACAGAATAGCATCGGTTTTTTTGGTTTGTTTTAGTAAGCATTTTACAGCACTTGCAACACAATTAGGCCATATAAAGGTAGAAAAATAGAGGTGTTACAAGAGAGTAACAAACATAAAAAAGAAAGAGGGGAGATAAAGACGATACTAGTTTGATAGGAAAGAGCACCCGCACCACCCACGAATAACTCGTTCCACGATCTGACAAGTGCTTGAACGTAGCAAGAGAAACAGTTGAAGATTTTACCTTTATTGATTGACAAGTACTGTGCTAGACCTTTACGTTCAGTAAGAGTTTTTACGGCACTTGCAAACACATTTAGGTCAATATAAGTGCCGAAGATTAGAGGTGTTACAAGAGAGTAACAAACACAAAAAAGAAGGAGGGGGAGAGGTAAAGACGATACTTGTTTGATAGGAAAGAAGGAGCAAACCACACCAGAGCACCCACCAACCACCCACTACCTCGTTCCATGATCTGACAAAAGCTTGCATGTAGCAAGAGAAACAGTTGAAGATTTTACCTTTAATAATTGACAAGTACTGCGCTAGACCTTGACCTACAGTACAAGTAGCACACACACACACACACACATACCAACAACCGTGACCTACACCCAACGACTCACCAACGACCTTGACCTACAGTACAAGTAGCACACACACACACACACATACCAACAACCGTGACCTACACCCAACGACTCACCAACAACCGTGACCTACGCCCAACGACTTACCGACAAACTTGACCCACACCCAATGACAACCTTGACTTACACCCAACGACTCGCCAACAACCTTGACCTA